AACTATTCTAATATACTTTTTCTCTATATTCAGTCATACTACCTACATAAATTTAGATTTCAGAAAAATAGTTTTGTTGCTACCGATTCTTTCTACTTCTTTCTTTTCCATTTATAAAGATTAAATCGATCAAGATCAAAATCTTAACATCAAAAAGGAGGGAAAATAAGAGATAGAAATCGTATAATTGAACAAATAGGAAAAACTTGTAAATTCCAGTTATGAATTGCTACATAACTTGACCCAGAATTTTTTCTATAGGTATATTGAGCAATATAAAACATTTTTACACAGCAACTATTTCTCTTTTACAGGGCGACTCAGTTTTTTTTGTCCATCAACAGAGAATTAAATAAATTTTACTTCTGAGACTTTTACAAGATATTGGAAGTAATTTTCATTTTCTTTTAATTTCTCTTTATAAAAGTGTAAGTGTGTTTAAAAATATGCTCATAAAGGGTGTTCCAAAATTCATGAAAGAAGTAATTTTGATAGAAAATACAGGTTTTTAATTAAAAATTGTAAATTTTTCAAAAAACCCCAAAGAAAAAAGTCTAATGGCGTTAAATTGCATGGTCTGGGTGGTCAAATCTGATCTCCAAAATTGAATTGTTCCTCGGACTGTATGGTATGTGGCACCGTCTTGTTGAAACCACATGTCGTCTACAAACATCCCTTGTGATTTAGGCACAGAATAATGGATTATCATGTCGCGATAGCGAGCACCATTAACTGCTATTGTTTGACCAGCGGCATTTTCGAAGAAGAATGGTGTGATGATGCCTCCAGCCCAAAATGCGCACCAAACAGTGACACGTTGTAGATGCATTTGTTTCTCAACAATCACTTGTGGATTTAAACCCCAAATGAGGCAATTTTGTCAGCATCCACTTCCATAATCCATTCAAAAAACTCTCTTCGCGTTGCGTGGTCAGCAGGTCCAATTCAACTTTTTAAGCATGAAGATGCAAATCTTTCGTGAGACTAAACTGAGAGCTTCTTGTTATGTTCCTGGCCTCTTAGCAATACTCTCACAAACTGCTTCGATGTTGTATGTTGAATGATTTGTTGATGAAGTTAAATCACTATTTCTACCATATTTTGTACGAAAATTGCGAACTGTAATGTTTGTTTCGTGTGGCGTTCCATTTTTAATAATCCTGAACTGTCAGGTGTCACGCTGCCTTTTTTTTCGTTGGCAACACTTTGCCACACAAACGGTGCAAAATTCAAACCTTGAGGGAATTTTGAGACATCCGATAGATTACATTCCACTAAATACATACAGAGCCTTCATAAATGATTTTATTTACTTTATGTTGGCAATTAAATTTCAGTAAAATTAAAAACGATTAAAACACTAAGATCAGAATTACAATATTCTGATTCACCGACTGGTGATTGGTGTCAATTTTCACGAGATTTTATTCAACCAATCAGTGATTGCATTAACCCGATCACAGACGTAACGGTTTGTCATTGTTCATTGTAAACGAATCATTAGTATTGGTCACTCTAAGGTTTAAGGATTTTTAGTTGACATTACCAACCGTGCAATGTTGATTACTTAAGCTCGGTGGTCACGTGGTTTGTAATCGTTTATTAAGGTTCTGCACATGCAGAGTGATTCAACATGGAAATTTCAAAAATAATAAAAGGTAGGTATAAAGTCGGTTAAGTTATAAAAATATTGTGCAAAGGCAAGTCCTACCGAATGATGCCTTTCGTTGTTTTTTGTTTTCTTTCTTTTCTTGAGCAACTTTTAACAATGTAACAGAAACTTTACATTTGCATCAGTGATGATATTAGAGTTTCTGTTATACCACTGGACATGGTCAAGTGTGCAGTAGTATATTATGTTACAAGTACAAAACTCCAACTCCAAGCAAATTTTCCAAGATTAACAAATATTGCGCACGGGCCTTAAGCGAGGGTCACATTTCAAATGAGTGAAAAATTAGCATTTTTGCACAAGTTGCAAAGTTCATTTTTTCTACGGTAGCAATTTTATTCTCTAATCTCGGCAAAAGTATTTTTCATTTTATCATCACTATTATACTTACTCATGTTCTATATTTTTTACTGTAGTAATTTCAATATCAGAATCGCTGTTCATTTGTTGCATGTATGTAACATGAACCGACATTTGTCAGTTGCAAAAACCTGAGTTTAATTGTGCAGAAACAATTTTTACGGCACACGCTTGTCACTGTTACACTTTTGTCACTTTTTCGTCGTGTTTTAAATTTGAAGAAATGAGAAATTATCCAATTTACGTACAGCAAGTGATGTGGAAAAACGTAAAAAATACTTAATACAGAATTCGGAAAATTCTAATACACCGGGTGATTCAGTTTCATATTCCCGGCCTCGTATCTCTTTTGTTTTATCAAATAGCTATAACAAACCCTACATATTTTTAAATCGCCGCTCAAACTCTATCAAATGACATTGTTAGATCGTCTCCGTGGTAACATATGTTAAATTTGCTATAGTCAACTGTTTTTGTTCAAATGGCACACTATATATTTTTTTATCAATTCTGGAAGATATTTTTTTCTGCATTCAGCTATACGAGTATAAAAAAGTCTATAGTTCCATTAGAAATATTGCTAGAAAAACAGCAAAACAGATGAAACCTAGTTTCAGTAACTTTATTCTGAAAAATGATAGCCAGCTTCGGAAACAGCTGAATTTTGACGTTTCTAAATATCGGTTTTTGAAAATAATTGACATTTTATACCTACCCACTCTAGCTATAACTAATTATTATTACTATAACATGAATACTTATAGTAACCAAAAAAACTAGATATGATTTTAATTTATGGAGAGTGCTAAAAGAACGCTAAAGCTGCCAGGCATTCATACCAACATCTTTTTCCGCAGAGATAACTTCCATCGGATAAAATTTTCGGAAAGTTAGCCAGGAATTTGGCAGCTGATGGTTTTCAAAAGAAAAGAATAGTTTTTAAACCTAGAAAGGTAAGAGATGAAGAACATTCGATAAAGATGTTAAATGGTCTGCTATAGATTTCCGGATCTAATTCCTATAGATTTCTTTCTTTGGCCTTACCTAAAAGAAAAAGTTTACTCTTCACCTTTAAATGATATTGACGACCTTAAAAACAGAATAAGAGTAGAGTGTCGCAGATTAAATGAAGAAACACTAGAATGTGTTTGTAGAGAGGGAGTAATCAACAGAGCTATTCTGTGTTTGGAAGCAAATGACCTCCATTTGCTTTTGAACATTTGAAATAAGTATTGTTTCAAATTGTTATCTTATTATCGTATTAAAAATAAAATGTTACTTTAAAAAACATAGTAACTTGTTTTCGCAGCTGGCTATCATTTTTCAGAATAAAGCTACGAAAAATAGGGTGCATTTTTTTGCTGTTTTTTCTAGCAATATTTCTAATGAAACTATAGACTTCTTTACATAGTTGAACGCAGAAAAAAAATATCTTCCAGAATTAATAAAAAAATATATAGCGTGCCATTTGAACAAAAACAGTTGACTATAGCAATTTAGACATATGTTACCATTGAGACGATCTAATAATGTCATTTGATAGAATTTGAGCGTCGATTTAAAAATATATAGAGTTTGTTACAGCTATTTGTTAAAATAAAGGAGATACAGGGCCGCGAATACCAAACTGAATTACCTGGTATATACCTACTTACAAAATTATTACAAAAAAGTAGGTTTTTAAATTTTAAGCACGTTCCTTTAAAAGCAAATTAGAATTATTTCAATACCCCATATATCGGAAAAGAAACTTTGTATGGATATATATACGAATTGATTTTTTTTCAAAAAAAAATATTTCTAACAACTATTATTAAGAAGCTACAACAAACCCGCTCTCTATATGTAATTTGCAATTTTTATAGGATTGACCATATAGAATTGAAGTAATAATTATTATAAAGATACTTGATACTCTCATGAAGAAATATGTTATTTTAACATTAGGAGTATCTTACAGTACACAAACACAGACACACACAATTTTCCACTTTACTGATACTAAATAACACAATATATATTCATATAAAATATATAAAGTTGATCAACTTTAATATTTATTTTAAAGAAGTACAAAGTCAGTCAAGTTTTGTACAAAAACATGCACAACAAATAAACTAAAAAATAACAATAAAAATTAATTTTGTGACTAATTTGTCTAAAGCAAATTTATTTAGATTACATACCAATGTATTGGTATGTAAAATACCAAACACATGCCTAGGTATGTAACATCAACAAATTTACTTAGTTGTCTACATTTTGCAAATAAAATGAATTTTTATTGGAATATAGGGATGGTCAATTTTTATTTATATTTTTTATGTGGAATTATTATATGTTTCTATCGTACATAACTTGACAGATTTTATAGTACCTACTTAAAAAAATAAATAAATAAAAAAGCTCATTATACTGCATTTTATATTACAACAAAAAACATTTTAAATGTAGAATTCTAAAGACACTAATAAAAACGACGAAACGTCGACAATAAAATGTCCAAATCAACTTTTTTGAATATTATTACAATGGGCCTAGAAATTAAAAAGTTAGTAGTACTTATTTAGTGTGTACAATGCAATTATTTTTTGTTAGATTTTCTCCACGGTAAATCCTAGAAAAGTAGATTTAAAAATCACAGATTGTGATATCAGGTTCTTATGACTACAATATTCAATTAACGAACAAGGATAAAGCAATGTTTGTATGTAAGTCTGTTAAGCCACTTGGAAGGACGCTATTTTGTGAAGTTAGTGATACCATGGAACATCGATATAATTGCCTTTATTACTGTATTTTAAACAACAAAAAAAGTGCTAAATCCATTAAAGATGGTAATTAATTCATTAGGTACAAATTAGAAGTGAAGCTGAGACTAGTGAAAAAGGTCCACTGCGTTATATTCGTCAAAGTTCCAATAAAATTTGTATTGTATATTGTATATAAAAATAAAGTTGATACTCACTAAAATCGATGAGTAACCTTCCATAGCCCTGCCGTTGATAAGGAGGTAACGTGAGGATGCAAGACACATTGTAGTTGAGAAAGGAATTCTTTTCCTGAAAAAGAGGGAACACATTTCAGAAATTCTTACATCCAAGTCATTTTCCAAAAATACAATTTTTTTTTTTTATTTTTATATATTTTTTTAAATTCAACCAACAACATAATTTGAGAAGTACTGTCCACGTGGAAGCTAATGATTTATGTACGCGCATCAACAATTTACGAGTTCTCTAGTCATGTCTCAAGATTTAGATTTAGAATAAAACCTCATTCTTTTAGTTTCACATCGCAAGTTAAAATCTAACTTTAACGCACTGTAACGGGCTCTAGTTCTAAAAAAATAGTAACTGGTTTTAAAAGCGAATTAAAATTAAATTATGCAGTATAATATTAACCCAGATTTTAACTTCACAACAAACACTATGATAAAGTTTAAAATTGTACAATTTTCATTTGATAAATTGCCCAAAAAATACTAATAGTTACTTGATACAAAATACGTGATAGACCAGGCAAGTTAGATAATAAATCAGCATTTTTTTTCTGATGAACCGATCGAGTTGTGGTTTTCGACATTGTCTTTGGAAAAATATCAGGANTTTCAAACAATCAATTGTTTGTTGTTCCTGATAGGAATGGAAAGAAACTGTTTACTAGTTTAAAACTGTAATAAAAAAGGATTCTAACTTGCCCCATAACACTTAAAATAAGAATTGCAATTTTTCATGTAAATTCATATTGCGATTGCCATTAACACTGCAATATAAAATATTTCCCAATTGTTACCTAATATGTTTCCAATTGTCGTCGGACGTTTTTATTGTAAAAGAAAATTCAAATAATGTATGTGCAATTTAAATTCTGTGTTCAATAGTTACCGAACATCTTTTGCTACGTAAAATGGCTGCTAGTAACATATTACAATTTTTCACGATATCGTAACATTTAAAAGACACGTGAAGTAAGACAAATATTGAAAATCGAAACAAACTAATTTTTAATATTTAAAATCATTTAGTGCACTAAGATAAAAATAATCTATTTGTATGAATTAAAAAATATGATAAAAGACATGGGAATCAGTGGGGTACGATTTAAAACCCAATTAAAAGAAATAAGTCCAATGGAAAATTATTCATAATTGGTAAGATATATTAAAAAATAATAACATTAATTGTGTGATATATTACTCTATACAATTACCGACAATTCTCACAGTTACCTAAGTTTTTTATAGATAATATAAAACTCCATATAAAACCACTCCATTATTTTTTTAATGGTAAGTAATTAGGGTTAGCACTTAATATTTTATTATCGACTAAATTTTACTTTTATACCAATACAATAATTACGATTAATTTGAAAGAACACATGTTTGTAAGTTACTCCAAATTGGTTTATAATACTGAAAAGACATAATAAACCCACTAAAAATGGAAAGGTACATCTTTATAGTACGGGATTTAGGTAATAATTCCTTATTATTATGAAGAAAACAGTTTCATTGGTCCTTTTCCACAAACATGATGTTATCACCAATTAAAAAGTTTGTAGACATCTAAAGCGCATCTATTTTTAATTACTAAATTAGCTAACTAAGAGTGTTGGTAGATTTTTAATGAAAATAAAAATGTTTACAAAAGGCACACTTATTCCGTAATTTTCTGTAATAAATCTTTATAGGTTTTTTATCAAAGCAACTCGTCTATCCAATTATAAAATTTCATTGCGCTTAGTAAAAATAGGATAACTGAAATGAATTTAATTTCGAAAATGTATTTAATACCAACAATGAACTAATTCAACTTAAGCGGGGCAATTTTAAGTTCAACATTTTAGAAATTCTAAACAAGTTAGAAACAATATCTCTACACTGTACCTGTATATAACTGTACTGTATATAAGTTTTCTTCAGGGTATAAGACAATTAATAATACATTCAAAATAAGGAAAAAAGGCATTTTTAACCTAGTATGTTTATTTTACCTTTCCTAAATTTTTCACGCCTGTTGAACATACAGAAAATCGCGTACGGTACTATTAACATAATCACACCCCACAGAATAGTTTTAGGAATATATTAACACATGTAGTAATCACAATTATTGAGTATCTTTACACATTTGCTAGACAAAACAAGAAAAGTACATTTTCTGATGTTCTCTGTGATCTTTCAATGCGAAAAATTTAAGGGAGTTTCTCTCTCGAAAACGTAGGAGTTGTTAATATAATTTTTTAAAACTATAAATCTATAGAATCATTCAATAAAATATTCATATAAGTCACTTTTAGGCATTTTTATAATTTATAGGCAACTCTTTAGCGTCATTGTAATGGATACAGAACAGTACGTGGTTAAAATCATGGAACCTTTTTTCTAGAGCACCCTGTATAAACATTCAAAAAGTAAACCGGAAAAAATGAAAAAGGAAGAACAAATGAAACGGAACCACTGTCCTTTTATAATATTACAATGTGATGGTGCTTTTTACCCATTATTATTATTATTTTTATTGAATTACCTCTTCATTTGTAGACGGAAGGTGAAATTTTTTGCGAGCTCTGAGAAATCGAACGTGAGAATACTTATGCGAAATTCGTTACAGTATCTACTTAAATAATTAAAATAAGGCGGCCATGCCTAACGAGATCATGCCCAAATTGGTTTTTAAATCGCATTTAGGAAAAGCACACATCTTGCAACGTGTTCACTACCCAAACTGTACAAAAATGACTCGACACGAATTACATTCAAATTGGTTTTTTGCACCAACCGCGATTCATATGAAATCGTTTCCTTCATTAATCATATCATATATTAATCGACAACTTTTTGCATCACGAAATACACCGATCAGATCATGTTCCTGAAATAGATACCCGGATGTGCTGACACACCCTGTATGCGTCGAAACTTTTTACGCGATATAATTATTGTTTCCGCAAAGTCTCCGGTCGACACGTTGCCGTGGAAAATCCACACTGGCTAATTTTATACTTGCTGCATATTTTTGAATAATTTAAAATTAATAATATATCGCAGATAAATTTTATCAGTTGGATAGCTAAAAATAAAAAAATGTTATCACAGTATGGTCGCAAATAAGTCACAATTTTATTTAATTAATTAATTATTTAATTTTAATTAATTAATTATTTAATTTTAATTAATTAACTACATGAATTGGGGGGGACTATTTCCATGGTTAAAAATACTGAATTCATTGACCAAAAATTCAAACTGGCCTCTCTTAAAACCACTGATTTCCATTTATCTGTTTAAAAGGGGTAAAGACAAAATAAAGCCCATTCTTTTATTTAAAACAATATTTTAAAATAATAAGATAATAAGATATAGACGTAACGGTTTGTCACTGTTCATTGTAAACGAATCATTAATGAAAGTTCCTAATTCTAAAGTTTTCACTAAAAAAAATCTTCATTCAACATTATCTTGAGCAATTCAAATGACAAAACCAGTAATTATCATTATTATTACTTTATAAATAATTTATTTTTTGACTTATAGGAACGTTGATTTCGAAACTTAATAAAATGTCAGAAAAGAAATATACCGATCTATAATTATTGCATTGCAAAGAAAATATACACCAACATCCTTCACTTATAAAATTTCTCGGCTTACTATTGATACATTAACATAGAATAATTAGTATGAATGAAACTCACCGAGTGACATAAATTTCAATATTTATTCTTCTTGATATCTACAAAAAGGTCTTAAATGCGTTTACTAGTGCTAAAAAAGAATGCAGGATGCATCACTTACGTTAACTTATAAGTGAAACATATGAAAAACCTTAAAACCCTTTTCTGTAGATTTTGCAATTATTAAATACAGGGTGTCTCATAATTAGCTGCCAACCCTGAACAGGCCGATTTTATGATCAAAACTAAGTAAAAAAGTTCATATGAACATGGGTCCGGAAATGCTTCCTAAGGGCACAGGGACCCATTGAAGAGGGAGGAATGGAAATCATTTTTTTGCAATATCTCTCAATCGCGTTGTGATAAATGAATGAAATTTGGTATACACAGCTAAATTTCATTCATTTATCACAACGACTAATCCATTTATTTC